GCCCAGGACTAGTGTTTTGTTTAGTTACCTATGGCTTCTGGAATTGCCAGCACAATGATACAATTGTGGTTTTCATTAAAGAGATAGTCTTGAATATAGCTTTTTCATAATTCCCTCTTTCTGACTAACGTTTCAGCCTTATCTCCCTGACCCCATCCCCACTTACTTTTATTTTATTTTATAACTATTGTGAATAGAATAGCAATGACTTAGTAAACAGTTGTCTCTGCTGTAAAGCAGAAAATCTTTTTGGCATATGCACAGGTGTGAGTCTTGTGGTAGGTTTTTTTTTCATATTTTTCATTATTTTTAGTTTTAGACTATTTAGGGAGAGGAAGAGACCCACAGAAGGGTGAGAAAAACAGCTGAGATCAAATATGATAGAATAAAATGATATATATTAATGAAAATATTATAAAAAGGATCTAGGGATGTAAAATGCTTGCCTAACTGTAATGTGGTTGAACTCTGATCTCCCTCACTACATAAATCAGGTATATTAGTAGATGATTTTGCTCTGAGCACTAAGGCAGTGAATGCAGGGGACTCAGTAGTTCAAGTTGAGCTATTGTACGCAGTGAATTCAGAGCAAGCCTTGGGGGAGAGAGAGGGGGAGGAATGGAGAGAGGTCAGAAACAAGGTGATTAGAAAAGAGAGTACAAAATCATGACGGAAGCCATAATGAAACTCATTACTAAAAGAAAAATAAATAATAAATAATCACTGCAAATATAAGGATCATCACCTGCCCTGTCAAAAATATAAATCTATAAAACTGATCCAAAGACCTGCAGCAAACACATGCTACTCTTAAGGGCTGGTAATAGATTATCTGATGCATCCCAAAGTGCAAGGGTTCACCTGTAAACCATAGGATTCTGTGATTTTTGTGAGCGACTCCAGGAATCTTCTATTTCTCCTATGGACATATTTGTATGACTCTGGTCACTATGGAAAAACCAATATTGGTAAAGTATATTTGTACACTAATTTTTATTATTTAAAAAAAAACTAGAGCTTGGTTAGTTTGTGCATGATTATGTTGAGGTGGTTAAATCACAATGTGGAGGATTAAATTCTCTCCTTCTACTGCAATGGAATGTGAATGGAACTCACCTGGGCTTGGTGACAAGCTTCTTCAAACATTTAGCCACCTCATCAACTACAGAATTTCGCTATGAATTGGCCCACCAAATTATTCAGGTAGGACCAGGTAAACCGGTTTGCATTCATGCAGAAGAACTGAATAATTTCCAGTGTTGAGGTTTAACACAACGCTCTCCCTTCTGTTATTTATCTTTGAACACCCTTCCAACGTGTTTTGTCCCTTTTCATTGTGTTTCTAACAGCCTTGGTGAAGATGAAATTCATTAGAAATAAATAATAATTACACACACAATGGGGAGTACATATTACTTCATGAAATGTGATGGAAAGTACATGGTTCACTGCCAGTCAGACCTCTGTATTTCATGTTCCCACCCTGTGAGATATACTCACGTCCAGAAATAATCCATTTGTGAGAGTCTCTTAAATGGTCTAGTATTCTCATAAGACACTAGCATGAAACTTCTAATTGTTTTTTTTTAATAATTGTCACCTGCAAGACCATTGTTACAGCAAGTGAAAATGTAATTGGAGGTCTCAAGGGAGGTGAGGTCACAGACCGTATCTCAGTAGCTGGCTGCCTCCTCCAGTAACCATAGAGAAGCTAGGTCACCATCCTTCTTCAAGACTGTGTATGGATTATCTAACTGCAATCTGACGAAATTTATCAGCAAAAAAAAAGACTATGTTCATAGTGTGGGTATGTGGGCATGTGCTGGCATTAATAAAGGGGAGTTGGGATTAGTAATGGAAAATGGTGGTGGAACCAGAAGACATGGGATTCTCTATCCATTCCCCGAGATCCAATCCCCCAGTCTCAGCCCCAGCTCTGTAACAGAACACATGTGACAGACTTCCATGCACAACTCTTCCCATCCTGTGTGGACCGAACAGATATTTCCTTCTAACCTCCTTTTCTCCATTCTTTGCTTTGTCCCAGCCACCAAACCAAGCAGGCAGTCCCTCCTAATCCAAGGGCCAGTCCTCCCAGGAAAACAAGTAGGCTGACAGAAGTTCCACAACTCTCCTTCTACTCCTCCAGAGCCAGTCACCCCCAGGCTCAGGATCGGAGGTAGTGTGTCTCTATGGGAAACATTTTGAAGCTTCACTCAGGATAGAGGATATAGTTAAGCATGGTAGGGTGTTTCTGTGGAGAATAGTCTCAAGCTACAATCACCCTAGAGAAAAAAGCAATGGTTGAAACATTTGCACAGAGTCAATATCCGTCCTTGGACTAGTTAGAGATCTGGCTATTGTAGTAAATTTTAAAAAGTGTGTTGGGCTATATAAAGTTTATTATTAGCCCTATGATTATTTCAGTGATATTACCTAACCTACTATCACAAATAATAAGACACAGACACCTGTTAGATTTTATAATTGCCTTATTACCTGTCTCAATAACCTCACCATCCATCTCCCAGCCCCAATCCAATGCCATGCACCTTAATCATCCTCATCTGGACTACCTTCCATCCACAATGCCAATATACTTGTTTCTATTCTTCATCTGGGCCTTCTCATGCCATTATTGGAGTCCTTTCTCCTGGCCCATGTGGTTCCTTCTCCACACTAACCCATCATGGTGTCCTCCTTACTCTTCACTTTCCATCCATCTGTCTCCTCTGATTCCCCTGTCCTCAAAAGCCCAGGAACCTTAGCCACACCTACTCCATTCTGCCCTGCCCAGGTACAGGCTGTTTAATCAACCAGTCAGATATAATGACTTAGGCAGTTTTATACAACAAGGATAGGTTTAACCCAGACCTTGAGGGCCAGTAACACGCATCAGACCAACCTCTAACACCTGGCCTTTCCTGTGAGTCTCATAGATTGAGGTACTTGATATGTCCATCCTCCTATCAGAAATGTCAAGACTGCACACTCTCCACACAAGGCTTCCATTTCTCAGTATCAAGAAGCAACATTTCCCAAATTACTACCAGCAAAGGCAAAGCTTTTTCTCCAGGCCAAAGACACAGCACTGGCAATTATAGCAGATGCCTGTAGCAAAAGATTTTTTTCTTGGGCTACTTTTGGCCATGAGAATATCCAGAAGCTCCAGAGAAAGTGGGTCAAATCTGTCTATAAGTGTGCTGTCCATGTTGTTCATAGCGCTCCAGAGGGATAAAGTATACCTTCTGCGGCTCAGGTTGGCTTTGTGGTGCAGAGGTTGCTTTAGGACTTGCAGAGATAAGGGAGTTCATCATCATTTAAACTGACCTTGATGAGCTGAGAGCATAGCTCTGGACAAGTAGCAGGGCAATGAACTGAGAATCGTGCGTGCAACACTACTCCAATTCCAGGGTTTGCCGAGTACCTGTGACTCTCTCAAGAAGAACCCCAATAGGCTTGAGGTACAGATCACATAAAAATAAGGTACAGATCAAATATTCCGGCAATGATACAGATAATTCTGACAGTGAGGGCTGGCAATGAGTGCTGAACAGGTTCTTCAAAAAGTTCTTTAGGCACCTAGGGAGAGACCAAGATATTAGTTCATTAAAATGGTGTTGAAGAGGATTGCTGGAAATGACAGCTAGGCAGATGACACTCATGCCAAATTTACTCTATTCATATGATTAGGATTAACCCCCAGGAAAATGACTTTTGTGATCTGCTTACACAATTCATGGCATTCTAGTCTGAGGATTGTCAGTATCACTATGGGCCTGACCCAGTGAATGGCAGAAAATCATAGCTATTGTCATATCAGGCCATCATGGTGCATGTAAGAACTAATTACTTACCCCAAACTAGATTCTGTAACCTTTCAGGGCTGTCCTTGGAGAGTTCCCTGACCTCTGTTACTCAACACTTTCATGCCCCATTTGCCCAACTTCAACCCAGTGTGTCACACATTCCCCATCTAATCAGCTCCTTTCTGGACTCAAAACAACCTTTCTTATGTGAGTAATTAGAGGCATACTAGTTCCTGTTCACACATATCTAAGCACAGATGTCAACTTCTTAGATATGCTCTTCGTCTACCACTGCTAGGGTCGCAGTAGCCAGACCATCAAGGACTCCTAACCTTCAATGCAAGATATGGGTTTTCTATGGTCTGGCAGACCTTCTCCATCCTTCCTTACCTCAGCCATATTTTCAGATGTCCTTTTAGAAAGTAGATATTATTTACAGAGAGATGCCAGAGACAGTGGAGTTTGGGGAACTGAGATAACAATGTGTTTATCATCTTCTCTTCCAGCTCTGCAGAAACAGCAAAACTGAAGAGCTTCCTGACTCCCTCAAACATGGATGTATAAAGATTTATCATCTGCCACAGATAAGGTCCAAGGAGTGCCATATCTTCCAGCCACCACCATTTCAGCTGTACCCAGAAAATAGCCTAGATCTCACAATTTGAAGATGTCAATGACATCTTCATAGAGATAGGAGGACAGATGATGCCCAAATCTGCAGCTTCTTACAGCAAAATAAGTGAAATATTTTCTCTGCTGGGCCCACTGCAACAAGTATGTGGCACATGCATTGAACTTGCCCTCAGTTAGTTTGATATCAGCTAACACCTTCAAACATTTCTTCACTCCACAGTGTAGACAAAACTTCACTGCCTCATGACCAGTGGTAATCAGTCTCCTTCATGGATTTCAGCCCATAGGTTCCAAAAGTCATGGTACAAATGCTTCAAATCAGACATGCAGAGCTTCAGCCTCCTGCAGTTGAAATGACTACAATGCTCAGAAGATAAATAAGACACATCTTGAAGTCTGCTTCTCATCCACATCTTACATATCACCCTTCTTTTCAAAAATCTTTGCTTTTTTCTTAAGCCAATGATCAAGCCCAGGTTCACATGCCCAGTAAAAAGACATCTATGCAGTGAAATACTTGCATCCCTATCTCTCTTTCCTCTATTCCATTTCCCTTACTTGTAGGCTCATTCCACTTATACCAGTAGAATGTGGGTACTCTGCTGTGTCCTCTACATTTGGCATTATTTTCACAGATGGCTGTCATAGGGCACAATCTACGAAAATCTAAGCTGGTGCTATCAGAAGCCTTTGATACACCTTTGAGCAAATAATCCCTGATCACCATTGTTCCTTTTCTGCACTCTCAAAGCCTTCCTTCACCCTAATGATCTTTTTTACCTGGGTTGAACCTTCTGTCTAATCAGCACATCCATTCCACCAAGCAGATCCTTCAGTGTCTCCAGGTGCAGAAAATCTATCAGGACTCATACAGGAAGGCAAGGGCCAGGCAGGCAACCTCAGGATCTTGGTATGTCTTTTGGTGACACTGTGAAGAAGAGCTCCATTGCAGATCCTCCGTTGCACAAATGGTCAGTTCCTCCTCTTCAGGAGCTTGTCTTGCCAGCTGCAGGTGTGGCAGTGGGGCCAGGATATGATTGTGATTGGTTTTTGGGGAGAATGACCCTGGCGAAGCATAGAAACAAATACACCATTAATTACTAGAAAATTTAGGAAGCCTTTCTTCTTCACTCTCAAGAAGTTTGAAGAGCAAGATCACTGCTTTGGCGATGACTGAAACCTCAGTTCACCCACTTAAACTTTCCACTGTTGCATTTGACGTCAAAATTTTCCTCTCTGGTGTGTGAAGCTTCACAAAAGCAACATTATTTGCAAATACACTGCAACCAAGGCCCTAGCGTATCCATTCTCACTGAAAGAGGTTAACAAGAGGTCCATATTTGATGCTGAATGAAGTTGGCCAGCTCTCCAGGCTCTCAAATAAAGCAAAGAGCAGACCCTGTTCCCAAGCTTCCCACTGTCTCCAATCTGAGGGAGTCGGTGAAATGAGCGCTGTAAGTTGCTGACTTTGAACATTGGTTGTTGCCTGTACAGGTGTTTAGGGAAAGGAAGTAGGAGGACAAAAAGAACACAGTCTATGATGCAGAGATGGCCTGGTTGGGAATCAACCATTAAATAGCTTCAGGAAACCTTCAATAGCAATTACCAAAGTCCATAAACTGTTTATAAAGCCCTGGAAAAGACACACTATAACACAGAGAAGAAATTCACATGTTAGAAGCACAATCTCACTAGATCAGTAATATCCTTGGTTACTTCTAGGGTTGTAGAACAACTACTTGAAGTCTCTAAGACATAATGGGAAAAAAGTACATGAAATTTCAAATTGTCTTTGACAATAATTCATATTTTAATTTGAATGCTGAACAAAAAGAAACAGGCCGCTTTCTTCAAGTTTGAGGACATCATGGTTTCCATGAAGAGACTATGTATCAATTAGGAGAAAAAAAAATAAGGTTTTTTTAGAGGCAGGGTTTCAGCTCTGGCTGTATTGGAACTCAATATATAAACCATTTTGCCCAGAACTCACAGAGATGGGCCTGCCATTACTTCCTGAGTACAGGCTTAAAGAATTTCACAACCACACCTTGCTCAAATAAAGATTAAAATCAGCAGAGTTGGAACATTTGAGTGACTCTCATCTGTCATTCAACCAGAATTGCCTTGAGTTCAAGGTCTCCATGACATTTTGAGTGAGACTTTGTATCGAAAAATAAGCACAGAAACCACAAACAGATTCAAATAATTATCTAATGTAAACAAAACATTCTAGTTACCCAGCCCTCAGGTGGCTGAAGTAGGATAACTTGTAACTTTCAGGTGAGGCAGTATTAGATTGGAAGAGCTTGCATCAAAAAAAAAAAATTAGCGAAGAAAAAAAAATATATATATATATATACACACACACTGATGATTGAAAAAAAAGAAAGGCTAGACTGGGTTAAATAGGGTACCTGAGGAAGCTGAGAGACTTATATAATAGGGACACTAGTGACGGGTCTCCGGGTCCCAACAGAAGCAGATAGTGACCCCAAGCTCCAAGCCTCTGAGGGTCTTGGACTGCTCTGACTCTTTAAATGCCTTTCCACAGTACACTCCCTTTGTAGTCACACACCTCCCAGTCAAAACCTGCAGGCTGACTGAATGACTGAGACTCTACTCCCTTAGGTCTTTAGGAATTTAGATGGTGTCTGTGTGGGTAGGATCAGATCTGTACCCAGGATAAGGATTTAGAATAATGGTCAGGGATGAATGCACTGATCAAAGCTCAGACTCTAAGCTATTAGTTTTGGGGTTTGTGTTGTTGTTGTTGTTGTTGTTGTTGTTGTTGAGATGGTGTTCCACAGTTTACCTTAACTTTCCTAGAATTTATATGTTGCCCATAGTGAGTTCCAACTATAAGCAATCCTCTTGCTTCTACCTGCTGTGTTACATGATATGAGCTGTTACTTTTGACTGAGTTTGAAATGACCGCTGTAGAATATAATCCCCACAGGCCTTTTCAAAACTTATATTAAAATGTACTTAATAATTAGTTTGTATGTTCATTCATGCATTCATGGTTTGGGGGAAAAAGTCTCACTCTGTAGTACAGGATGCCCTGGGAGTTTTGGAATAGAGGAGCTAGTTGAAAACACATGGGAACTTGTCTGCCTGTTCAGCCTACTAAGTGCTAAGGCATTTCTCTTTTGGTAGCCTACAGAGCACATTTCTGCACCAAATACTGTTGTGTTAAGGGAGAAAACTCCATGTAGATGCTTCTCCAGGTTGAATGAGTTGTATGGGTGCTGTTCTTGGCAATGGGCTGCATTCATGTATATGCTCACATTGCATATGGTATCCAAGGAGGTCAGAAGAAGATATGGGATCAACTGGAAGTGGGTTTAGAGATTGTGGGGATCATCAGGTGAGTGCTGCAATGCGAGCCTGGTTTCTCTGAAAGATTAACGTGTGCTCTAAACTACTGAGCCATCTCTCCAATTCCTAAACTGTGCTATTTTGATGTGTGGTACACAGAAGAAGGCAGATACTCAGTTCTCTGAGAGGAGAGGAGGAGGTGAGTCTACAGGTATCTGGACAGCAGATTCCACAAGAGAGCATGTTTGTGAGTGGAATAGAGCCGAGCTGAGAGTTGCTAGGGCAGAGCTACAAGGCTCAGATTGCATTTCCTTGACCTGAAACTGGACACAAAACTGAGGAAGCAGCAGGAAGATGAATCCCTCCATAGGATACTCCCCAAAGGAGCCACTCCATTGTCTTAATGCACCCTGGCAGCACTTGGAAATTAGAAATCCCAGTGAGCACCACACATGAATGTTGCAGGGTACTTGATTACGTTGTGAACCCCAAGATTATGTACTGAAAAAAACTGCTTCTAGTTAAGGTGTGGCTCAGCCCTAGCACACATCTTTATTATAAGAGCCTTCTGTAAACATGATTAAATAAAGTCAACCATAGGTCAGGAAGCACAGCAAGCAACCAGTTGACAGGGAGTGAACACAGAAAAAAAAAAAAAACAGAAAGTGAGAGGAAGTCCTGAGGACAGATAGAGAGATGCACAGGAAGTAGAAAGGAGGGACATTCAGTTTGAGGGGTTTTTGAGACGTCATAGAGAAGGAGACATGACTTTTTCCTACTGTGAAGTTGCCTGAGTAGGAAGGTCAGCTGGGTACTTTCCTTGCCTCTCTGAGCTAGTAGGCCTTTACACCAGCATCTGGCTCCTGAGTCTTTATTGGTAAAATAGAATATTTGGAATTCTGTTTTTAAAAAAACATTTTGGCACCCAACATGGGATACAACCACAGGGAGAAATCACTTCAGCTTTGGACAAGCCAAAAAACAGTAAGATTTGGTGAGGGAATTCTCAAGGAGAGAGTTCATAATGAGAAAGACCATAAAAGGTGCTAGGATCCTGTATGTAGCTACTTTAGATGGCTTGAAATGAAATCAGAAAACAAAGGGCCAAATGAAATTAACTTAAATTGGCTCAATACCAATTATGATTATTATCATTTTGGTATTTCATACTTTATCATTAATAGGCATAGTGGCTTTCTGTACCCACTCAAAGAAAAAAGCTTTAAAGATACAAAAAAAATATGAAAAGTGGATTGATAAGATACAAGTCTTAGAAAGACTTATAAATGCAAATAAGAAAAATACTCAGACACAGACAGTAATTTAGACAAACCTTAGAAAGATGAAACTTTAAATGAAAATTAAAAAAAAAAAAAAAACACAGACATAGGAATTTAGACAAGAACCTACCATGCCACTGCACAATGAAACTGAAGGTGGATATCCCAAGGTTGTTAGAAAACCAACTTTACTTCATCCAGTCACCATAGAACTACCAGCAGACAATAGGCACCCACAAAGTTGAGAAGAAGTTAAATGTAATCCTATAGACATACTAGATTTGAGGAGATTTAAGAAAGTGATCTTTATGGTATGCATTCATACATTCACTCATAATAAATATGGGCAACACATAAAAGAATTGTCCCCCAAAACTGGAAAGATTTGGTAATAGCCATATTGGAAGATGGTCTTCGGTTACAATGGTGAACAAGGTGGAAAGAGAAGGTAGAGCCATAGAAGAATAACATATTGTTAGAAATATTAATATTTTCCAAGATCAGTTGATAGGTGAATGTAAATACACTTAGTAACAAAGGCAGCTTGAATTTAATTCTCACACCTTGGTACTATGTCATTTAGCAGCTTTAAATGCTTGAGCTAAGTTGAAAAATAAGAAAATAGATCTGAGTCATTTTAAAAACTTATACAAGACCTTAAAAAGTCTTTGTTGAGTTTTTGCAAAGATTGACTTCAGCAGTAAATTGAGTAGTATCAGATTCAGAAGTCAGAGAAATGTGGATTTAATCTTTGATTTGTAGAGACTATCTTGTGTATTGTATATATGTGCTGCCTGTCAATTAAAAAATACCTATGGCCTATAGGAAATAGTAAACATAATGGTGGGACACCTGGCTGGCAGAAAGGATTCTGGGATAGAGCCAGGCATAGAAGATTCACCCAGGTGAGATGTGAGGATAACAGATACATGGTACCTGATCAAAGATAACCGCCACGTGGCAGAATGTAGATTAGCATAAATGTCTTATTTTAAGTTACAAGCTAGTCATCAAAGAGCCCTAGCTATATGACCTGGGTATTTTCAATCTCATAAGTCATTATTTAAGGAGCTAAGGGTGAGGAAGAAAAAAACGTTCACTATATTGGCTTTGGAAAATGGTAACCCTG